GAGGTCCCTTCCAACCCCTACCATTCTGTGATTCTGTTATTACTGAATGTCTTTACCTTTATTGCTCCATGCAGCTGGGTCACAACAGAATTCCTCTGCAGCTCCTGCTGCTGGCCACGAGCAGCGTAGAGCTGCAATACCTCCTTGGTGCTTCTTCCAGCCCACCCTTGATACTGTTTAAAAAAAAAAAAAATCAAAAATCACCTGAAAAATCACTTTTAAATGCTCATGTTTTCGGTTGCATTCTGTCCCCTTTGTCCCTGTAAATATTTGTAATTCAACCATCTGCTTACATGTGATGTTGTAAACACATAATTTCTTCCCAACGGTGCAAAACCGTACCGATAGAGCCCTAAGCTGGGTCTTCAGAGATCAAAGCAACAAAGTCATTTTTAAAGGATGTGGCGAAGAATGCTTTCTAATAATCAAAAATGACCTATTATGCAAAAGCAATTTTTATAGCCAAATATTTTTTTTTGAGAGATTGAAATCAAAAGCAAAATAGAAACAGTGCAACTTTAAATACTTACAGGCAAGAACACAAAAAAAGAAATCTCTGTAGAGTACTTGTGAAATTCTGCAATATAACAGAATCTGCATTATATTAAAAACTGCGTTTTCATCATTTACTGACAGTCCTGATGCTTTAAATGAGCAGCCTCTTCTTCACCTGCTTTCCCCTGCAGCCTCTTGACATCTGTCATTCCTTAACCAGTACCAACAGCCTCTTTCCTTGTTCCTGGAATGCACTTGTCTCCAGCGCAGACTTCATACTTTATTCAGTCCATAAATTCTGTGACTGCAGTTCCCTGTTATTTAAGCTAACAGAGCATAGAAGAGTATAATGACATGAAAGAGCTAAAACTACTCACATAACGGGTTTCATTTAATTGCAGTCATCTAGAAATGACAGGTAAAAAGTCAACCTTTAATTGCAGTTTAACAACAGACGACATCTGCAAGAACACCCCCACAATGTCCTAGAGCTGTTAAAACAAAGAAAGGCTACATTTTCCAATAAAAGTACTTGACTTCTCCAAACCAGCCTTTTCATGTGGCTTTTTCACCTTCACAAAGCACGAACCTTCTATTTACAACTGCAGCCTGAGCTCCTGCACAGCTATACCAACACTTTAGCACTAAAATAAAAAGTTCTTACATGGAAACGAAATAGCAGGAAGAAGTTATTTTAAAAGAACTCTGATTTTTTTGTTACAGGCTTTAAACTCCCAGAAATCGAGGACCAATTCTACACAGTGCTCACGTGCTCTATCACTGTGGGGATCCTCAAGACTCCTGTTACTCAGATGCAATATTTACAAACACGCTTGACAAAAATGCATACAAGTAGCTCACCAGAATTAGTATCTCTAATCACACGTGAAGAGTTAAGCATACATATAAGCAATTGCAGTGCTCCAGCCTCACTGCTAAATAAGCTTAAGCTACTTTTACCGTCTAATGCGTTTTCCACCATCTGCACAGGTTCGCCCCTGCTCCCCATCTATCTCAACATGGACAATAAAAGTGGAATGGTGAATTCTGCTCGCACTGCAGTCAGCCTCTCACCACTTCCACTATCAAGTTTATCTTTATTGCAAAGGCTGCCTTGGTTTCGAGGTTTTCTCCACTAAAACAGTTTTATCATTCGTCAGAATTTATTGTGTGACAGAACTTGCAAATCCGTGCTCACGGGTGGGGAACAAAAAACTGACTGCAAAACTTTTTATCGTCAGCTTTATCATAAACAGAAGCAAAACTGAACTACTTAATAGTGTTCTCCAAAGTGAAATCTCAGTTCCGCAGTCGGATCCATTCTGGCAGTCTTGGCTTTAAGGGTGGAAGCCAGCAGGATCGGGACCTCAAGGACTGCGAACGAAAGCAAGGGGCATGCAGGCAAACACAGTCCCAAACAGGCAAAAGCACGTCCACAGAGAAAGAATCTGACTTCTTACGTTCAGTAACAACCCTTACAACACGCTGCCAGGATAACGACAGACCAGGCTGCAGAACACAGTGGCAGTGACAATATTTGTGATTATCTTAAGGATATAAGCAATAGAAGGCCTACACCAAGAGAGCACATTTTTGCAGACTGATACAACCTACAGACAAACATTTACACTGCAAATCCTAATTTCTGGCTGTCCTCATGAGTTTATCTCCAAAGCTCCCTCCCTCAATTCAGCCAAAATGAATTGAATTAGTGTTTACCAGTTAAGAATGAGACCTTTGCTAACCCTGGTCGCTGTGACTGAAGCTGTTACAGCTCAGCCCTTCAGGCAGGTCCGAGGGGCTGGTGGCTGACAGCTGAGAGCAGGAGCTTTCTTCACCAGCAGCTGGTGAAGTGGTGGGAGATGCGGTGCGACATGGCACAACCCTAAATCCATCTAATTAAAATTAGTATTCATTCTAATAGAGACTCTTCAACTAAGGTAAAACCATTCCACATCAGTTTAGCTCACGTTTTCAGATGGCTGGGGCAAATCAAACAAGAAGCCAAAGTCTTTGAAGTGTATTTAAATAACTGCCTGAACAGAAAGATCAGTGCAAGGTTAATTGCAAACTGTTTCCACGAATCATTTCATGCTGTTTCTGACCGACGGTGGTAACACTGCCACGCTCCTCATGTGTCCGTAGGTGCTCGTATCTTGCAGCACATTTGGCAATAAACCGAAGCAGTGTCGTCTTGGGAAAACAAGGCTTCATTATCTAACACTCAGATAACTACCTCCTACATCTGATGCACCTTAATAATTTCTTCCTTGGGTTCATGAAAGTTAAAAAAAAAAAACAAAAACCAGCTCAAATATACTTCAGATTTTCGGTAAATATTATAAAGCAGAACAAAAATAATAGTAAAACAAGAAACAAAAACAGCTAAAATACTTAAGATTTTTAGTAAATATTATAAAGCAGAACAAAAATAATAAAAACATTTCCTCAGAATCAATTACAGTACTCTCCTGTATACCTGGCAATGCTCACTTCAGATGTACCATCTGCTTCCAGCCAGGCTTTGAAAAATGTTAAACCCACTTTTATCCATGGATGGTAACAACTCCCAGGGAGGCTTTCCTGAGGTCACCCAGCCATTTCATGTTTCAGCCCAGATTAGCAGCTCTGGGCCAACAGTCTCCTTCACAACCAATACTCACAGCTGGCTCCAGTCTAGCAGTGTGGATCAATATTGAAAATTCTGTAAATCTCTGAAATCCCACCTTTGAAGGCCCCAGCCATTATCACAGGCTGCTCCTTGTTTCACTGAGGGTCTAGGAACACCACATCCCTCTGTGGAAGGATGTAAGGAAACAAGGGCATCCAGCTGCTGCTGAATGCTCTGCAACCAACTTCTGAAACAGTACCTTGCCTTTTCCAGACGGGTGTGACACTTGTGCAAGGAAGACACGCCACAGGGCATCTCTGGGAAGTCTACCCAAAATTAAACCTCCTGCTTATGCTCTATGAATAGCCCTTTTTAAAAGAGCACCCTAATTATGTCCAAAAAGTATTCCTTCAAAGTCTTCCCTTGCCTTCTAGGCAAATGTTTTCCCTGCAAGCAGAAAGCAATATTCCACATATAATGCGTCCAGAGTCATTCCCTCAGTTCACTTTTGTAGACCTAAAACAATGGCAATTGTTTAAATGTATATCAACTTCTACTTACTTAATCAGTCTCTCTCTATTGCTGATTAAAACAAAAAAAACCCAACCCAAACCCAGAGCCTTAATCCTTTCATAGACTTCCCCAAAAGACAAAGAGCAGAAAACTTGAAAATAAGAAGATTTCAGTATTTTTTTTTTTTTTTTTTTTAATT